CCATCAGTCACAGGCTTAATCTCTTTAACAAAAGTTTATGTAACCACATCCTTGGTGAACATTCTAGTACACATGTCCTTAGTTTGTACAATGGAATTTTCCAAATCTTTAAGTTCTGTTTTAATTTTGCACAGTTTATTTTAAGTCCATCTCTTTCCTCATTCATTTTACTATAAGCAGCAAGGAGAAACCATGTGGGCCCTTTAAGATCTTGCTTAGAAGTCTCATCAGCCAGATATCCAAGTTCATCACTTACAAGTTTTACCATCCAGCAAACATTTGAACTTAATTCAGACAAGTTCTTTGCCACTGCATAAAAAGCATCACCATTCCTCCACTGTCCAATCATATGTTCATTATTTTCTTTTAAAGCCACACCAGAAGCAATTTAACATCCACATTTCTAGCAACATTCTGTTGTCGGTGTCATATGTATTCTCTTAGACAATAGAAACTTTCTCTATAGCTCTCCTTACTTCTTTCTGAGCCCTCACCAGAATTGCCTTTGGTGTCCGTAATTCTACCAACAGTCATTTCAAGGCAATGCAGGCCTTTACTATTAAGCACCTTAAAACTCTTCCAGCCTCTGTTCATTACCCAATTCCAAAACCGCTTTCACATTTTAGGTATCTGTTAGAGCAGCACCCCACTCTCCTTGTACCCACTTGTGTCTTAGTTATCTAGTGCTACTATAACAGAAATACCACAAGTGGATGGCTTTAATAAGCAAATTTATTTTCTCACAGTTTAGGTGTCTAGATGTCTGAATTCAGGGTGCCGGCTCTAGGGGAAGACTTTCTCTCTGTCAGCTCTGGAGGAAGGTCCTTTTCTCTTCTGAGCTTCTGCTCCTGTGTGATCTTCCTGTGGCTTGCCATCTCTCTTCTCCTATTTCTCTCTGTGCTCACTTTTTATATCTCAAAAGAGACTAACTCAAGGTACACCTTAACACTAATCCTGTCTCATTAACATAACAAAGACAACCCATTCCCAAATGGGATTATAACCACAGGCATAGAGGTTAGGATTTACTACACATATAATTCAATCAATAACAGTCTGGAATACAGGAGATCCCTTAGGACACTTCTTAATATTACCATGCCCTGTGAATAAAGACAATGGAAAACTTGTTGTTGTTGTTAGATGCTGTTGAGTCAGTTACAACTCATAGTGACCCTATGTACAACAGAACGAAACATTGCCCAGTCCTGCACCATCCTCGAATCCTTCCTATGCCTGAGCCCATTATTGCAGCCACTGTGATAATACATCTCATTGATGATCTTCCCCTCTTTCACTGATCCTCTACTTTACCAAGCATGATGTTCTTCTCCAGAGACTAGTCCCTCCTGATAACATGTCCAAAGTATGTGAGACAAAGTCTTGCCATACTTGCTTCTAAGGAGTATTCTGGCTGTACTTCTTCCAAGACAGATTTGTTCATTCTTCTGGCAGTCCATGGTATATTCAGTATTCTTCACTGACACCATAATTCAAAGGCATCGATTGTTCTTTGGTCTTCCTTATTCATTGTCCAGTTTTCACATGCATATGAGGCAATTGCAAATAGAATGTCTTGGGTCAGGCACACCATAGTCCTCAAAATGACATCTTTGAAGACGTCTTTTGCAGCAGATTTGCCCAATGCAGTAAGTCATTTGTTTCTTGACTGCTGCTTCCATGGGTGTTTATTGTAGATCTAGGTAAAATGAAATCCTTGACAACTTCAATCTTTTCTCTGTTTATCATTGTCATGGATTGAATTGTGTCCCTCAAAAGTGTGTGTGAACTTGGCTAGTCCATGATTTCCAGTATTGTGTGATTGTCCACCATTTTGTCATTTGACATGATTTCCTATGTGTTGTAAATCTTACCTTTACGATGCTAATGAGGTGGGATTAGTGGCAGTTAATGTTAATGAGGCAGGACTCTATCTACAAGATTTAGGCCATGTCTTAAGACTACCTCTTTTGAGATATAAAAGAGAAGCAAGCAGAGAGACATGAGGGATCTCATGCCACCAAGAAAGCAGTGCCAGGAGCAGAGTGAATCCTTTGGACCCAGGGATCCTTCGCGCAGAAGCTCCTACACCAGAGAAAGATTGATGACAAGGACCTTCCTCCAGAGCTGAAAGAAAGAGAAAGCCTTCCCCTGGAACTGACACCGTAAATTCGGATTTCAGCACTACATAACTGAGACAATCATGGTGTTGCTTATCAGTCCAGTTGTAATGATTTTTGCTTTCTTTATGTTGAGGTGTAATCCATACTGAAGGCTATAGGCTTTGATCTTCACCAGTAAGTGCCTCCAGTCTTCTTCACTTTCTGCAAGCAAAGTTGCATCATCCACATATTGCAGGTTGTTAATGAGTCTTCCTCCAGTCCTGATGCCGTATTCTTCTCCATATAGTCCAGCTTTTAAGATTATTTGCTTAGCATAGAGATTGAATAAGTAGGGTGAAAAGATACAGCCCTGACGTACATCTTTCCTGATTTTAAACTATGCAGTATCCCCTTGTTCTGTTTGAATGACGGCCTCTTGGTCTATGTACAGGTTCCTCATGAGCACAATTAAGTGTTCTGGAATTTCTATTGTTTGAAATGTTATCTATAATACGTGATGATCCACACAGTCGAAAGCCTTTGCATAGTGAATAAAACACAGGTAAACATCTTTCTGGTATTCTCTGCTTTCAGCCAAGGTCCATCTGACATCAGCAATGATATTCTTTGTTCACATCCTCTTCTGAATCCGGCTTGAATTTCTGGCAGTTCCCCGTCAGTGTACTGCTGCAACTGCTGTTGAATTATCTTCGCAAAATTTTACTTGCATGTGATATTAATGATACTGTTATTAGTTGTCATCGAATCAGCTCGAACTCATGGCAACTTTATATACAACAGACCAAACTGTTGGCAGGTCCAGTGCCATCTCCATGATCATTTGTACGCTTGAGTCCCTTATTTTGTCTGCTGTATATTTTGAGCGCCTTCCAACCTAGGGGGCTCATCTTCCAGCACTATATTGAACACCATTCTATGGCAACCCACAGGTTTTCATTGGCTAATTTTCAGAAGTAGATTGCCAGGCATTTCTTCCTAGTCTGTCTTAGTCTGAAAGCACCAATGAAACCTGTCCACCATGGGTGACCCCGCTATTTGAAATTCTGGTGGCATAGCTTCTAGCATCATAGCAATACGAAAGCCACTATAGTACTACAAACTAGGAAGTGAGTGGTAGGCCCAGTAGAATAACTGGCACAACATAAATTATTGCAATTAGTTGTTTTAATTAGTGTTGCCTTCCATAGGTGGTGATGGGGTGTGGTGGTATCATTCTAGGTGAGGAAAACAATAAAGGCTCTGATCCTGTTTGTCTAGAGTCATGGTGGAGAGAAATGGGAGATCAGTCTGAAGAGCAATTCGGGATTTTCCTACTGGTGCAGTGTTTAAAGCACTTTGTTGCTAACCACAATTTCAGCTGTTCAAATCCACCAGCTGCTCTAGGGGAGAAATATCTGGCAGTCTGCTTCCATAAAGATTTACAGCCTTGGAAACCCAATGGGGCAGTTCTACACTGTCCTGTAGGGTTGGTATGGGTTGAAATTGGCTAGGCAGTAGGTGTGGCTTTTGGTAGCTGTGTTAAGGAGTTGGACTGAATCAACCATCTGTCTCTAAGCCTTGTCCTGTTGTTCTTATAGCGGGGTACTTAACATCCCTGGAGATAGAAGGCCTGGTAACTGGAAGCCACAGAAATATTATGATGCATGAACTTTCCTAGAAAAATTCTAGGGAAAGTCAAGTAATTTAAAGTTATTTAAAAGGGACCACACATATTTATGTTAAAACACAGACATCAGAAGGTGCAGACTTTATCTTTATTATTTTTTTTTTTAAGACAATCTGGAAATTTCTTGAAAGTTTCTCCATTTTAAGGATTTAGGGCTGTACTCCCATTCCTTTGCCACTTGCCTCACTCTTCTTTGCCTTGGGGAAAAAAGAGCTGAATCAAATCCAAGCCCTTCTCTTTACAGCTGAAGAAAACCTCGTGGCCAGCGAAGCCAATGGTTACACAAACAACAAACTAACAAGTTTCTTCAGCTGTTACGTGAAAGGTTTGGATTTGATTCAGTTCTTTAATTTTTTCCTAGGGCAAAGAGGGTGAAGAAAAGCGGCAAAGGGAGGGGAGTATAGTCCTAAACCCTTAAAATAGGAAATTTCTAATGAATGCGGTAAAATAAAATATGCCCAGTGACCATGGGTCTGAATCAACTGAAAGGCAAATAACAAAAATTTCACTGGGCTTACATTTAGAATGAGTGTGCTTTGAACGCATGGCCTAGGTTTTAACCTAGCGTTCTGATTCTGAGCATTTTTAAAATTGTGGACTTAATCCTGTGCAGACACTGAGGTAGAGGATCCTAATGAGAGTCCAGTGGGCAGCAAGAATAACAAGTTAACATGTGCTGAGCACTTCCTCACTCCCAGGCAGTAACTTGACACTGAAGCCTGGCAACAACCTTGAGATAGATTTTAATAGTTACATTTTACAAATGAAGACAGTGTCCCTTTCCATGGTCACACAGTTGCGCAGTGTAGACGGACGTCTGATCGCCTCAGGGCAAGCATGAGGTGCAGTGAGATGTAATTAACTTCCCTGGGTCCCTCCAGGAGACCACTTCGCCTGTGCTGACATCACAGGAGCCCAAGCCTGACGTCTGCAAAACGCTCGGCTTCGGGGTGGACCAAGAGGTGTACAGGACCCTGGGTCCCTCCCAACCCCAGCCGCGACTTCCCATTCGTCGCCGACGGACGTGCGTCGGCTACGTCGTCACGTTTGGTCTTCCGGAAGTGCGCTCGGCGTTAGCGTCCGCGGGGCGGTAAGCGAGCGTGTGGGGGCCTTCCGGGGGTAGCGTAGCCAGGGGGCGGCGGCGGCAGCAGCGAGTGCTGGCCCATCACTCCCTTGTCGTGTCGCCCCAGGATTTTGTGGGAGGTCAGGAGCGGGGTGCGACGAAAGAGCCCCAACGTGGGAGTCGCCGCGTCCACACGTCGCCGCTGAGCGCGCCCTGATTCACGGGCTTTCCCCGGGCGCTTTCCTTTTCTCGGGGCCGGGCCCCAGTGTCTCACTAAGCTTTTCTGGGCCTAGCACCTGGTGCGGGGCGGGACACGTCATTGCAGGGCTGGGGTCCTTTTGCGTTGACACAGTTGAAAGGAAACGGAGTCATTCCCCCGTCCCCGTGGTCTGGGTTAAGGGAAGCCGCCGCCTCGTGGGAAACGCGGCTCTTTCAAACATGCTTTCCAAGGAATGGCGTGCGTGGTTCTTCTCTAGTAGTGTTGGTTGCGGTCACTTGAGAGCTTCTGCTTCACAAAGGTGCGGCCCGTGGAGAGAAGTAGGCTGTGATGATGGAGAAAGGAAGGCAGCATGTGGTTGGCAGAAAATGCAGACTACGAAGCTAAGACATGAGAAAATATTTTACAATTCTTATTAAAGGTCCCAGATGGCCACTTCAGCTGTAAATTTCAGGCGAGGGCAGGTAGGGTGATAATACACACTGACTAAGATTTGTTCTGGAGGAGACCAAGTGTTCCTGTAAGTCTTCCAGCTATATTTTCTGGAACCACTGTTCCTTAGCAGCTCGGTACCTCTCAAACTTTCACTGAAACTGGACTCCCAGGAAAGTATTGTAACAGTAAAAAGTGGTATATGAGAATAGTACTAAGTGCTCCAGGAGTACAAAACGGGATAGCTGCAAGCTGAGATCTTATTGAAACTAAGTCACTGTTTTCATTTTCCGTCTGAACAAGAGATGAGTTTCTCTCGTTTATAAATAAAATTAAAATGTGTCCCTTTATTTTCCTTGATTTTAAATTTCATTTTTGTGCATGCACGTTTGCCTTGTAGATGTATGGTTGGTGACTTTCTCTCCAGATGCTGAGGTACCTGAATCCCTGGCGTAGGCCTTTACTGAGCTGTAGTTGGAGTAAACTGTGCCTTCTAAAGCAGTGTCTATTTACAATGAAGTTGCGGTCCCCAGAATTCCAGTCACTCTTCACAGAAGGATTGAAGAGTCTAACAGGTGAGAGATTTAGAATGCTTTGGAATCCTGTGTAAATGGAGATACAGGTGGTTAATGTTATTTTAGCCAACATTCATATTTTATTTTTCTAAATTTTATTGATTTTTGTTGTGGAGAATATATACAGCAAAACATAAACCAACAGTTTCTACATGTATCATTTAGTGACGATTACATTCTTAAAGTTGTGCAATCATTCTCACCCTTCTTTTCTGAGTTGTTCCTCCCTCGTTAACATAAACTCACTGCCCGTTAAGGTTCCTGTCTAATCTTTTGAGTTGCTGTTGTCAATTTGATTCCATGTAGATCTTAAAAGAGCGTAATGCTCAAGGCAGACCTTCTTTACTAGTTAAGCTAAACTATTGTTTGGCTTTAAGATGACTGTAGGGGATATTTTTGGTTTACGATTTAAAGATGGTCTCAGGGCAGTAGTTTCACAGCTTCGTCCACCCTCCATGGCTCCAGAAAGTGCAGAGTCCATGAGAATTTGAAATTCTGCTCCGCATTTTCCCTCTTTGATCAAGATTTTTCTATGGAGTTTTTGATCAAAATGTTCAATAATGGTAGCTGGGCACCAGACCGTTCTTTTGGTGTCATGGCAAAGGAGGCAGTTGTTCATGGAGGCAGTTAGCCACGTGTTCCATATCCTCCTACTATTCCTGACTCTCCTGCTTCCTCTGTTGCTCCAGGTGAATAGAGACCAATAATGTTGTGCCTTGGATGGCTGCTTACAAGCTTGTAAGACCCCAGGCACTACCCAGTGAACTAGGAGGTAGAAGGGAAACACTAAACACGTTATTAGGCCAGTTAACTGGGATGTCCCACGAAAGGATGACTCTAACCCTCCAAACCAAGGAACCAGATCCTACGAAGTGTTTAGTTGGACATAAGCAGCCTCAGCAGCTACTCTGTTTTTTTGTTGTTGTAAATATATCTGTGACACAACTTTTGCCAGTTCATCTTTTTATAGGTGTACAACTTATTGACAGCAATGACAGTAATCTGCTGTGAAACCCTACTCTTAGTTAATGGGATTTTTCCATCGCTGTTAACACAGCATTCATATTTTTAAAATTATTTTTTTTAGCTAATGAAAAAAAGGATCTGAAACTATAACTGAGTCAGTAGAAGAGGCAAGAAGTGAGTGCAGTAAATAACATGGGTTTTCCATATACTGTGCCAAGTACTTTATGTACGTTATGGAATTTGGTCCCATTGAATGAGTTGGGTACATTTCCTCTTGTTTTATGGATGAAGAAATAGAACCTTGGGAATGTGAAGGGTTTTGCCTATGTTTTATAACTAATAACTGGAAACAGATGCAGTCTGATTCCAGAGTCCAGCTTGTAACCACTAAGCTATATTGCCTTTGTAGGTGTAAGTGCTTTCTGAGAGAACTGAAGGCAGAGGGAAATAGGTACCTCTGCTTACGCAAATGGAGAACTTAACCTAGAAGGAACGTGGAGATGGCTCTGGCTAAGTGCTTGACTGTAGTAGCTTCACCTTGCTGTGCTACGATTTTATCAGTACAGGCAGTCCCCGACTTACGACGGGGTCTGTCTGAAGTCAGTTCTGAAGTAAGTCACATACCTCTTTTTTTTTTTTTCCCATCATTATTGCCTTTTATTATCAGAATCTTTATAAACCCGATCTTTGAACATCTGCAAGTGAACATCTGAGAATGATAACATCAGGAAATTCTGTGCTGCAACATTGTATGTAGCATATATTACTAATGATAGGATGCACCAAAAAAAAACCCAGATGGTTGTAAGTGCAGTTGTTTTAACTTGAATACGTGGTAAGTTGGTGACTACCTGTATGGGTCTTAATGTCATCTACTGCTGTTGTTGAAGCATCCACACAGCTGTAGGTATTTTAGTGGTGCCTTCAGAAATATATTGTTAGATGCCATCCAGTTGGCCCCTGACTCAGGGCGACCCCATGCACAACAAAATGAAACTTTGCCTGATCTTTGCGCCGTCCCCATGATCAGTTGCGGATTGGGCCTTTGTGATCCATAGGGTTTTCATTGATTGATTTTTGGAAGTAGATTGCCAGGCCTTTTTACCTAGTCTTAGTCTGGAAGCTCTGCTGAAATCCATTCATCATAGCCACCACACATCACAATAGCCACCACACAAACTACCGCTGACAGATGAGTGGTGGCTGCACATGAGGTGAATTGGCTGGTCATCAAACCCGGGTCTCTAGCATGAAATTCTACCACCGAACCACCACTGCCTCCTCAGGAATATGTTAAGCTATATGTATGTAGAAACATGACCTAAACAGTGGTTTGCAACTCTCGCTGCCCGTTAGATTCATCTGGGGAGCTTTTAAATTTACACCAGACTTACTGAACTGGAATCTTTTGGAGGGAGAGGAGGATGGACGTTTATATTTTTTAGAGAACTCTCTAGAAATTTGAAGAATCATTGTTTTAAAGTGACTCTCCTTGTATTAGCTTATTCCCAAAGCTTCTTTCCCATTCTTGAAATTAGATAATACCAAGACTTTTTCGGTATATGTCAGTGGTAAACAGTAAAATGGTAAACGTACTGGTTCTTGTAGGTTCCTTATGTGGTCCTGAAGTGATGGGCCCAGATGTGAGGATGATTATGCTGGCACTTCACTGAGATATTTAGTTGGACAGAGTGAAAAATGCCAGAAAGTTACTGTTCAGTAGAAATAAAATATGAACCACATAAACCAGTTGCCATTGAGTAACTTCCGACTCATGGAGACCCATTTGTGTCAGACTAGATCTGTGCTCCTTCGGATTTTCAATGGCTGATTTTTTGGAAGTAAATAACTAGACTTTTCTTCCAAGGCACCTCTGGGTGAACTTGAACCACCAACCTCTCCGTTAGCAGGAACAGGTGAGATTAATTTTTCATTATTTTATTGAATTCAGTATATCCAAAATATTTAAATATGAAATTTTAATAAAAATTGAGATATTTTACGTTCTTATTTGCTATTAAGTCTTCAAAATATGGTATGTGTTTAACACAGCCTATTTCAAATCAGACTTGCCACGTTTCGAGCGCTCAGTAACCACATGACGAGTGACTATTGTTTGAACAGCACAGATGTAGAAGCTCTAATTTTGGGTTGAATTTGAACTTATTCTTTATTTATGTGCCCTTCCTATCCCCCACCCTTCCTGCTCTCAATGCTAGAGGTGTCTTGGAGGAGAGGTGCCAAGTGATTGGATGCAGGCAATTAATCTGGTGGCCTATCTGCTGAGGTTATTTTGCGTTTTCTATGAAACATGGCTCAGGATTTTGATTACAGTAGGTTCTTGAACATGTTTCATTTTGACAGTTGCATTTAGCTTACTAAGCTAAATTTAAGAGCTGAGTTTTCTCCACCCTGAGAGGTGAAGTCCTAAGGAAGTTAGAACTTAAATGGCAGTGTAAGGTGAAGGTAAGGAGTCCTGGTAGCACAATGGTTAAGCGCTCAGCTGTTAACCAAAAGTTTGGCGGTTTAAACCTACCAGCTGCTCCAAGGGAGAAAAGACCTGGCAATCTGCTCCCATAAAGATTGCCCTCTAGGAAACCCTATGGGGAAGTTCTGCTTTGTCCTATAGGGCCGCTGTGAGTAGGCATCGACTTAACGGCACACAACCATAACAACAACAACAAAGGTAGAGGTAGTGAGTGTTTGCCTCCAGGGTCCTGTCCTTCCCAAGGAATTGGCAAAGGAGAGCATGGGCATATTCTAGAGTTGACTTTTTCAAGGCTATAGCATAAGTGGCAAGACTGGAATCTTAGTGCAGTGCTTAGCACCTAGAAAATCAGATCATTCCTTTAATTTGGTCTCTGCTACTTCCTAAAGATTTGGGCGTCCTGGTAAAATGCAGTGTTCTGAATGAAAAGAAAATGCACAAAAACACACAAGGCCTTTTTGATGGCTGTTGCATAGTGATACTGTGCGGTTTAAATCCTGCTATTTCAGTTCTCAAGTCTTAAAGCTGGTTTGCCACATGCAAAATTAATTTACAGTATGTGAGAATTTGGGAGGCTAGTATGCTTGTATTATGGTCATACAACCCCCCCCCCCACCCCCCCCAAAAAAGAACTCATTAGTGTTGAGTTGATTATACTCATTGTAACCCTATAGGACAGAGTCGAGCTGCCCCATAGGGTTTCCAAGATTGTAACTCTTAACGGAAGCAGACTGCCACATCTTTCTCTTGCATAGCGACTGGTGGGTTTGAGCCACTACCTTTTGGTTAGCAGCTGAGCACTTTAACCACTGTGCCACCAGGGCTCCTTATGGTCATATTGGGTTTTATAATTTGTCATGTTATTTCATATATGTTATTTTTCTTTTTGCTTTAGTGCAGCCACATAATGCTAGTGGTATATAAGATTCTACAGATGAGACTGAAGTTCTGAATTTATTTTTGCCTGGGTAACAGTCAGTTGATGAGCCAGGACTTCTTTGGCTTTTTGGCTGTGGGTGATAGGGCTGGATGGTCCTTTTTTAGCTGCTTAGGTATATGAGCCCAGACAGTCATCACAGTAACATTTGAGGCAATAGGAATAGCTGGTCACTCTTTTGAAGTTTGGGGCTCTGGGAACACTGAAGAAGAGATCCTGTCGTCCAGTAGTAATGGCCATGTTGTGAAAACTCATCTTCCCACTTGTACCTCCTGTTCACCTCCCTCTGCTAACCTCCACCACTCAAAATTCAAAATTGTAAAGGGGAGAAGTTAACGAAAATTTGATTGAAAATTAAAAAAGAGATCAGTATAAAAGTTTTCTGCCACATTAATGACGTGGTCTTTTGGATTGCTAACAAAAATAGTTAACAATAGCTTACTATCAGATGAGGCAGTTGGAGCAAATTAACACAATTCTGAATGATGAGATTCTACGTTTCTTGAGTATTAGGCTTAAACCTACAATTAAATTTAATTGCATTAGGTGTCATTTTCACTGAGTATGTAGCTTGCCAAAAAAAAAAAGAACCGAACCTGTTGCCATCGAGTCGATTCCAACTCATAGTGACTCTGTAGTACAGAGTAGAACTGCCCCATAGGGTTTCAAAGGAGCACCTGGTAGATTCCAACTGCCGACCTTTGGGTTAGCAGCTGTAGCTCTTAACTGCCATGCCACAAGGGTTTCCTGTAGCTTGCAAAGTTTAGTGGAATATCAGACATATCTCTGTTTCTGAAAGATTGAAGATGTCAGTAATGGAGGAATAAAGGAGTCTTAAAGTTTGGTAGTCCTGTATTAAGTCAATAAAAAATTGTGTATTTCTTACAGGTTTTATCACTACTTTTCCCCACAGACACATAGAAATGTCTTTATATGCCTTTCTCAACTGTATTTAAATGTTATTTTTAAAATCTTGAACTGTGAGTGTTTTGGAAATAGTTTAACAGCATAGAGCTGATCAAAATGATGAATAGATTACTTTGAATTCTGATCTCTTTTCTGTAATGCAGTTAATTTACCCATTGACTTTGAACTTAAATTTTATTTTAGTGAGGCCAGCATGAGAATCTTAAAACAGTGGTTAACTATGTAAATTTAGCCATGGCCGCCTATATTTGGTTATTTAAGGTAGGTTCAAATGAAACTGAAATTTGCCCATTTCTTACATTCCAAAACAGCTTCTTAGATACTATTTTAATTCAAAGGAAGCAAACTTAAAATAATAACAAAACCACCAACAAAACTTTCAAATGAAGCCCTTTTTTTAATTGCTAGGATATAGGCTATCACAGTTCAGTTCCACTGTGAGCCAGGTTGGTATAAAGATGATTAAGATAGGTTTTCTACCCTGAGAAATGTGGAAACAAAGGCATAAACTGATAATTTTATTATAATTAATAAGTATGCAGAGAGTATGCCAAGCTACTCCAGTAGCTTCGAAGAAACTCAGAGTGTTTCTCATAACCCCACCTTCAGGAAACACGAGTGAAAGGGAGCTAGGTCAGCGTCCTTCAGACTGTGGGTGGTGGTCTGTTCCAAAACCAGAAAACCACTGCCATCGAGTCAATTCTGACTTGTAGCGATCCTATAGGACAGGGTAGAACTGCACCATAGGGTTTCCAAGCTGTAAATCTGTACAGAAGCAGACTGCCACATCTTTCTCCTGTGGAGCAGCTGGTGGGTTTGAACCACCAACTTTCTGGTCAGCAGCTGAGCGCATTAACCAGTGTGCCACCAGGGCTCCTTAGTGGCCCGTTAATGACCACAACATCAAATTAGTGGTTATGACCAGCATTCAAAAAAAAGAGGGGAGAGATTGGGAGAGAGAATAGCATAGAATGTATTAGATGGCAGGGTATGTAGAAAGGTTAAGTATTATTTCATGAAATTAGTGTAATATCTTAGTGTGGGTTGTGAGCTAAGACGTTTGACAAACCAGCTGCTGACCTGGGTGAAGAAGTTGGGAAAGTATTTAGATGAAGTGACCCACATCAGCAAAGTTACAGACGGAAAGTCCAAGGAGAGTTTGGTGCATGTAAAGTGTGGTGCAAGGATTAGTGAGAGATGATTGAGTTAGAAGTAGGTCACGGAAGCCCTTGTATTTTGTGCTGAAGAATGTGGTGATTATCCTGTGAGTAATTATGAGGAACAGTTGTGTAAATGATTTTCCTGGCGTTTTAGATCCCTGTATCTAGATTGTGGAGGCTGGACTTAAGGGCAGGGTGGTTTGGTGCTGGAGGTGGGGACGTAAGTGAGGACACTCTTATGAGACTCTTCTACAAGTATAAAAAGCCCCTGGACTTAGGGAAAAATGGAGGTAGACTCCAGAAATATTTTAGCGGTCGTTACCTCTTGGGTCATTGGCCTCTCTCTAAATCTCATGAAAACTGTGAACTAACATATCTGATTTTTACATTTTATTGTGAGGGACCATGGGCCCCATACTCCGGAACTTTTAATAGGAATGTGCAGTCAGTGGTATTTGATTGGAGATGTGGAGTACAGGAAAATGAGTACTTGCACTTGGAGAGAGCTTATGCAGGTGGTATCCTTGTGGGAGAGCCAACTTTTAGTTAAGGCAGAAAGATGGAGGGAGGAAGCATTTGGTATAGAAGCTGAGTTTATTTTTTAGTCAATCATTTTAGGGAGGCTCTAGGGAGCAGGTTTGGGAAGAATAGGTGGAAGGAGGAGAGTGGGGATGAGAACAAACAAGATGACAGTTGATTATGGTGAGGATGGAGGATTATGTTTTATGATCAAGGTGTATGATGAGTGTGTGATGAGTCTGGCTGAATGCTAGTGTTAGCCAAAGACCACAGGAGCACATCTGTAGTTGGGTTGTTATTCCTCGCAGTGAGGGAGAACCTCAACATGGGGAACTGTGGGGCATCTCAGTAAGAATGTGCTAACCGAAAAAAAATCAAACTAGTTGCTGTCTAATTGATTCTGACTCCTGGTGACCCCATATGTTACAGAGTAGAACTGTTTCATAGGGTTTTCTTGGCTGTAATCTTTATAGAAGCAGATAGCCAGGACTTTTCCTCTGCGGCACCGCTGGGTGGGTTCGTACCGCCAACCTTTAGGTTAGTAGTTTGAGTGCAAACTGCTTCACCACCCAGGGGCCTTGTAAATGGGTGTTAGAAAGGACTTAATAGATTTGAGTCAGGTGGTTTTGGGGTGGATTTAAAGAAGCAGGGGCTTTGTTATGGATTAGATGCTGTCAGGAAGTGGGGGTAATCCTATGATTGGGTATCTTAATACATCTTATCTAGAGAAAGGGCTGAAGCTGTAATTCTTAAAGAAGCAGCAGTCACTTGTATTAGCCAGGGTAGGGGAATGTTTGGTCATTTTTTGTGGTGACTTGGGCAATGTTCATGTTTTGTCTGGGTTCAGGCAGTGATTATGGAGTGGTCTTGTTTTTGTCTTGATCCATCACAGTCAGAGAGTGGCCTTGTCTGATGTTGATGTTCTGTGTAATTGCTTATGTCCTACAGGAAGCACCAAGGCCTAGCTTTGAGTGCCAGGCCTGCTCGTAGCAACGCCAAGGCTTAGCTGGTAGTACCAGGCCAGCTCCTGAATGCCAGCTCCTGGATGTCTTTCTCACTGGATTCCATATGGTGTCCTTTGGTCATGTGGGTATAGTTATAGTGGACTTTGCCCTGCCCTGTACCTACAGAGGAGTCACTCAGCTGTGAAAAGGCCCTCCTAGTAGTTCCAGTGTTCATACGACCTCACTTGGAGCAGATGAGTTGATTTTTAAACATACACGGGTTATTGCTTGAAGGATTCTTAGCGCTGATGTTCTTTATAAGTAGTGTGGTGGAGTAATGTTGCCTATACCTTGATAGTTTCAAAGGTTGCATGAGCACATTACCTCAACATCTATACACAAAGAGAAATACTTTCAAGAACAAGTCACCATGTCTAAAGTATGTTCATAAACTTGGAAAAAGAAAGCAGAATAGTTTGCTTTACTCTTTGGTAATAATTCAAATTATGTTGATGACCTTGAGGCACTGTGGAATTCTGAATTATCTTCTGAATCCGTGAAGAAAAATTCGGCAAGATGTCTGCTTCCCCACAATTCTTCGAGGTGTTCAACTGTAGGCAGGTTACCTCACTTCTCTGGGCCACATTCTCAGTCTTCACATGTAAGGGCTCGGCTAAATGATCTGGAATATCTCTAATAGATTGAAAAACCTTGTACTTCTGTGATTCTTAAACACATTGAAATAAAACTCTCCCTTCTCTCATCCCAGAATTATTTGTCAAAGAAAATCATGAGCTAAGAATAGCAGGAGGAGCGGTAAGGGATTTATTAAATGGAGTGAAGCCTGAAGATGTGGATTTTGCAACGACGGCCACCCCCGCTCAAATGAAGGAGATGTTTCAGTCGGCGGGGATTCGTATGATCAACAACAAGGGAGAAAAACACGGAACAATCACGGCCAGGGTGAGTGATAAGTTTGACACTAGTTAATTATGTTTCTTCTTTGGTAATATTTAAATGTAAATTTTTTTCTAGTTAGAAAAAATGTCTGACATGCCCCCCCCGCAAAAAAAAAAAAAAAAAAAAAAACCTGATCCCTCCTCCTCTGTTGTGACCACTTTTAACTAATTCTTTTGGTAGTTACCTGTTACCGTCATGTTTCTAAAAAAGGCCTTCGTATGCTGCGGTTTTGGGTTGGTCGGTTTTTCAGTTCCTAGGTTTAAGATGCTATCTGTCAACTTCCAACTAGGGAAGATGATTGGGCTTTCTTACCACACCTCCCCGAACAACTCACACACAATTCTGCATTCCTCATAGTCTCAGTACATTTATATCATAATTTTTGGTTCAGTCAGGCCTCAGGATTTACATGCATGACTCTATGTTGTTTACAGCTAGATTGTGTAGTATGCTACGATTACATGTCTTCTGTTACATGTTTTTTGTTTTTCTTGTAGTCAATAGCGTTTTTCTTTTCCATGAACCACTAATTCATTCTACAGTCTGTACTAGAACTGGGAAACTCTTCTCAATAGACTTAAATACATCGCGTTTCAGTTCCCTCTTTTTTTGAGCCGACTCACCTGGTACGGTCATCCTCCTGCTCCAGTCGGGACTGGTTGCTTTCTAGGTCTGTTCCAAGCCGTCATCCTGGGATTTTCGTCACTAGAATCCTGAGAATTTCCTTAGCCCCTCTTTTTTGTTAGAGGTCCTGTTGTCTGGATCCCACATGGTATTCTTTCTTAGTTTAGATGCTCATTTTAATAATGCAAAAACCACCACTAGCTTCCTGGGAAGAGTGTTTGGGGATGTATAATTTTTGAAGCTTTGGATGTCAGAAGATATTTTTATTTTACCATCACACTGGTTTGATTGTTTCATTGGCTGTGGAATTCTAGGCTGGGAGTCATTTTCTCTTAGAAATGTAAAAGCCAAGGTCTGTCATTGTTTTCTGGCTTCCAGTGTTGTCACTGAGAAGTCTAATCCTATTCAGATTTTTCCTTTGCTTGAGGGCCTGATTATTTTTCCTTTTGGAAGCCTTCATGATCTGATTTCTAATCTTGTTGCCATGGAGTCAGTTCTGACTCAGCAACCCTATAGAACAGGGTCGAACTGCCCCACAGGGTTTCAAGCTTGTAATTTTTACAGAAGCAGACTGCCACATCATTCTCCCACAGAGCACCTGGGTAGTTTGAACAACCAACTTTGGTTAGCAGCCGAGCACTTAACCGCCGTGCCACCAGGGCTCCTTTTTCTTATCTGTGGTGTTTATTTAAATTTCAATGTGGTGTACTTTGGTTTGGATTTATTTTTCATTTATTGTGTGGGGTACTTAGGGGGCCCTGTTGTATTTCTTCATAATTCCGCCCTCTTTGTTAAATGTCTTCTCCATTGGAAGCTCCTGTTATGTGGATGTTGGACCACTGGGACTGGTCCTCTAGTTTCTTTATCTCCTGTTTTCTGTCCTCATGTCTTTTATTTCCGTTAGAGTGCCTTAGATTGATCTTCCAACCTTTCTATTATATATTTGCAACTTCTCCTATCTTTTAAATTTTGAAGAGGTCTTTCTTGTTTTTAGAATATTTCTTTTAAAGCATCCTGTTCTTATTTGAGATGCACTGTCTTATTTCTCTTTCCTCTGAGCTTTTTCTGCCTCTTATGTTGGCTTTCCTTAAATATGGGTGTTCCTTGGCTCTTTTTATATTTGGGTGATGCTCTAGTTAGCACAGTGACTTGAGGGCTTTATTTGTAGCTTTGCTGTGAGACTCCGATGTCAGTGTCAGTAGGACTTTTCATTGGGAGGAATCAGAGAGGAATCCTCCCCCATGGTTATGCCAGGGAATAAACTTGGCTAAGTAGCATTTTGAAAGCCAAGTGGAGAATGGGACACAGGTCAATCAGTCTTGTTTTCACTGAGGTGCATCACTCACATGACCATCTGTGCCTGGTGCCCCAAGTCATGGTTTTTGGTTCAACTTGGTAGAGAGTAAATCTCTGGTTTTCAGCTTTGGTAGGGAGGCATTCTGGGGATCTTATTGTTTCTAGTAATGATTTTTAAAGTTCTTCCTATTTCAGAACTCTTTCTTTATCCCATGCCTTTAGAGATATTTGGTGCCTCAAATCCCTGAGTTCTGGAATTCCGTAGTGAGAAGTAGCTTGTTTCTAGGGAGAGTGTTATGGAGATTTAGAGGAATCATAGAACAGAATTCTAGACTGTCCAGTCTTCCTTCATTCCTTTTCAGACTTTCACTTCTAATGAAGAGATTCCGAACTGCAGCTTGTCATCCACAACCCTTTTCTGTCTACCCAAGATGCTTAATGGGCTATTTGTCGGGCATAATTCTCTATTACATATATTCTTCTTCTTTTCCACTATGCCTCTCACCATCTTTTCTTTTCATTTGAAATGTTGTTCTTCCTACATCTGCATGTACAAATCCTAGTTATTTTTTAAGGCTTGCAACTCAGATGTCACTCTATCACAAAGCGCCTCATCTTTTCCCAGCTAGAGGTAATCCGTCTTCCCAAGGTGTATGTAGCACTTTATTTTAGCCTCCCTGATGATTACCTGCAAGGGAGCTGAAAGATAAGTTTATATCTTTATCAATCTTTTGCTGTATAAATTGATATTCAGTTCTTTGCAAACTAGAGGAGTTAAAAAATATTTTTACCAGGAGTAGCCTGATTTGAAATTGGAGAACGTGAATACACTCCTTTAAGGACTCCTCCCTCCCTTCTGCCACATCACATATCAGAGTTACCATTTTTGTAAATCCATCCTATGTCAGATTCATCTTTTTTATTAGGATGAGTATTACTATTATTTTTTTTTAATATTACTCTTTGGAGTTATCTTTGAATGTTATGGGTGTTTTCTTACTGTTTCAAGATATGTGCACACTAGTTGACTTTAAAAAGAAATAAGATACCCTTATTGTCAGGGCTTGCAGTACTATCATACAATGGAGACAAACTCTTTTTAGTCAGGGCTTCAAACTCATTCACTTTGGTTCTAACCTCAGCTGAGAATTTGCATTTCTAACAAGTTCTAAGTAAGAATCACCTAGGGATCTTGTTAAAATGTAGATTCTGATTCAGTACATCTGGGATGGAAATGCAAATTCTCAGCAGGGGTTCGAACCAAACCCTTTCAAGCCCTGTTTCCAATCCATCCAGTGATATTAAAAATTAATTTTTAAAAAAAACATATTTTGCAGCTTCATGAAGAAAATTTTGAAATTACTACACTACGGATTGATGTCCTCACAGATGGAAGACACGCAGAGGTAGAATTCACAACTGACTGGCAGAAAGACGCGGAGCGCAGAGATCTCACTATCAATTCTATGTTTTTAGGTATTATATGGAGATAAGCTAGTGTTTTGATTCAGTCTTCCAGGATATCTTCTCTTCAAGTGAAACTTGCATTCTGGAAATATTCTTGGACTTGAGAGGTTACATTAATTTATTCTAAGAAACAGTGTAGCATATTGGTTAAAATAATTAATGCTGGAGTTAGACTACCTGGGTTCAGATTCTGACTCCATCACTTGCTAGCTCTAAAATGCAGATACTAATATTGGCTTCCCCTGTAGGGTTGTTGTGAGAATTAAGGGAGTTAATCGTTGTAAATGCTTCAGACAGTGCCTGGCATGGGTATTAACATTTTCGGAAAGAAGAATGCATGTGTACACACGCTGGCGCGCACACACACACTGTGCGTCACTTTGCTCGGCACTGTCTGATGGCATGTGTGGCATACATGTCCCACTCTCTCCTTGCTTCCTGTGCCCACGGTGCACAGTTGTGAATGACTTCACCTTTTTTCTGCCGAGCCTAGGCTCAACCTAAAATTCTTTTATAGGATTATACTTTAGGAATAATACATAATCAGAATTGGCATGCAAGATGAAACTTGTCATTTTAGCTTAACTTCTTTGTTAGTGAAAAGTGATGAGACTCATGAGAGTAGATGTGAATTAGTGTCTTGGTGTGTTGTTGTAAGCTGCAGTGGAGTCAACCCCCAACTCATGGCGACCCCATGCACAGTGGAAGGAAACATTGCCCAGTCTGCACCATCCCCACGATCGGTTGTAGATCAGACCATTGTAATCCATAGGGTTTTTGGAAATAGATCGCCAGGCCTTACCTCCTAGTCTGTCTTAGTCTGGACGTTCTGCTGAAACCTGTTCAGCATCATAACAACATACAAGCCTCCTCTGACAGGTGGTGGCTGTGCGTGAAGTGTATTTACCGGGAGTCGAACCCGAGTCTCCTGTATGGGAGGTGAGAATTCTGCCACTGAACCACCACCCTTTGGTGCATTTTTGATGGATTATTTTTTGTACTTTAAACTTAGATAATCCCTTTATGTTTAAGACTTTGGATTAGAAAAGAGGAATGAAATGTCCACTGTTCCTCACCTAGTTTGTGGCAGCAGTAGTGGTGAAAGGGTGACACTTCATCTAGGCAATCAGTGGGCACTTTGATATGCTTTGTCTCAGTTACCCTCAGAAAAACTTCATAAAGTAGGTATTAAACCTCTCTGTCAGATGAGGAAGCTGAGACTCGGAGAGGTTATGTAAATTAGCTCAGGTCACAGAGTCATGATCTGAACTTGCTGCTCCAAAGTGTAGGTGATGTATGGCCAGAGGAAGCCCACTTAGTGGCATTTTCTGTTAATTATGTGGTCAAAGCCCCAGGTGTTATTTCTTTTTACATCATTTGTACTTAGAATAAACTGCTTCAACTAGTGCAGTGTATGGAATCTTATAACTGGCTTCTCATAAGCATATTTAACTAAAACTAATATTCCTTTTCAAGATACTATTTTATGAAAATAAAGTAAATAAAAGCAAACTGCCACATCTTTCTCCCGAGGAGCCGCTGTTGGTTTTGAACTGCCAGCCTTTCAGTTAGCAGTCGATTGCTTTAACCATTGCGCCACCAACGCTTCTTTAAGTAGCTGCAGTGCCTTTTTGCTGTGATCTACAGAGTGAAGCATCTCAGAGGATCACTGACCTCCTCATTTGGATGGTTGAATGGTGCCTGTGTCTTTGCTCTGTTTTTCTCTCTTTTTCCTTGGTACATAGGGTGACCAGCTATTTTGGTTTCCCTGGGACTGAGATATTTCCTGGGATGTGCAATTTGTGATTTTAAAACCAGAAAAGTCCTTGGCAAACTGGGATGAATTGGTCATCCTGCTAATAAACCAGGTTCTGTGTGCCTGTGTGAAAATTGTTTTTTCACTTTGTTGTTGTCCAACATATGTTCAGTATTTTGTAGTGGGGATTTTTTAATTTACAATATAATTTTGAATAGATAATAGGTTAAAATGGTTCAAAATTCACAAAGTTTAAAAGGTTATATGATGAAGTCTCCCTATCTGCAATGAACAGGAGTGCCTATTTCACCTATCCTGCTAACAGTGTTAGCAAACATTTGGATATTCGCCATTTTTAGAGATAGAAATGTGAAAAATGCCATCTCACATTTGTATTTCTTATGACTAAGGTTGAACATCTTCATCTTAAGAGACTTGTATTTCCGGTATATGTTTTGAGCCTTTTTTTTTTACATCTTATTTGTAAGAGCTTTTTATGTATTAGGGAAATTAGGTGTTTGTCTCTGATACTGAGTGACAGATATTTTCTCTAGTGTCATGAGTTTGCTTTGTGATAGTTTTTGCCATGCAGGCTTATTTATGTAACTAAATTATCATTTATTTGAAGGCTCTGGGGTGTGTGTGTGTGTTTTGTTTTGCTTTCTTAGTTTGTAACTATAGTTTGAAAGTTCTTCCCTATTCCAGGATTATAAAATATTTTCCTGTGGTTTCTTCTGTTATGCCTGTTCTTTTTTTCCCAGATTATTTTGGTTATTCTTCCTTGTGTATGTTCCCATGTGAACTTGAAAATCAGGTTGTCTGGTGTCCTGTTGTCCCCACCCCAGCAAACCTTTTGGCATTTTTATTAGAATTGCCTTCAATTTATAAAGTAACATGGGGGGTTGCTATGAGTCGGAATTGACTCGGTGGCAACAGGTTTCATCTTTTTGATGTTGAGTCCGCCTGCCCAAGATCACTGCATGCCTTTTGTGCACCTTTCGGTTTCATACAAGTGTTTGTTTTGGTCGGTCAGTGTCAGTAGCTTCTTTTCCCCCCAGTGGTAAAATACACATAACATTAAATCTGCCATTTTAACCATTTCAGAATGTACAATTCAGTGACATTAATTACATTCAGTGTTGTATAGCCAGCACTACTATTTATTTCCAAAATGGTTTCATCACCCCAAACAGAAACTCTACTCCTTAAGCAATAACTCCCCATTCCCTTATCCTACAGCCCTGGTAACCACTAATCTACTGTGTGTCTCTATGCATTTCCCTATTCTAAATATTTCATAAAAGTGGGATCATATGATATTTGTCCTTTTGTGTCTTAACTTGTTTCACTCAGCATGTTTTCAAGATTTGTCCATGTAATAGTATGTAGCAGAACTTCATTTCTCTTCATGGCTAAATAATAATCTACTGTACGGATATACCGCATTTTGTTTAGCCATTCATCTGTTGATGGACGTTTAGGTTGTTTCCACCTTTTGGCTCTTGTGAATGGTGCTGCAACGAACACTGGAGTGTGACTATCCATTTGAGTCCTTGCTTTCAAGTCTTTGGGTGTATACTCAAGAGTGGATCATATGGTGGATTCCGTGTTTAACTTTTTTAGGATCCACCCAACTGCTTTCCACAGCGGCTGCACCATTTTACTTTCCCACCAGCAGTGAATAAGTGTTCTAATTTCTCCACATCCTCACCAACACTTGTCATTTTCTGTTGTTGTTGTTGTGTTTGTAATAGACATCCTAATGGGTATGAAGTGGCATCTCATTGTGGTTTGTGATGTTGAGCATCTTTTCATATGCATATTGGCCGTTTGTATATCTTCTTTAGAGAAATGTCTGTTCAAGTCCTTTGCCCTTTTTAAAAATTGGGTTCTTGGTTGTTGTGTTGTGGGAGATCTTTACACGTTCTGGAATTAAACCTTTGTCAGATACACGATTCCGAAGTATTTTCTCCTGGTAATAGTAGCTTTTTAATGTTTTCTTCAATACCCAACCCACTGCTGTCAATTCCAACTCATAGAGACCCTATAGGACGTTCTTCAGTACAGGTCTTGCATATTCTTGTTTATTTTTGGGTGTATTATTTTTTAGTTGTCATTATAAATGCAGCCCTTTATTTCATTATATCTTCCATTTTATAGCTGATATATGTGAATGCTATTAATGTTTATATTTTAATTTTAAAACTCTTCATCTTGCTGAATTCTGTTTATGATAATTTTCAGTTAATACTCTTGGGTTTTCTAATTCTTATTTGCTAATAGTGATTTTTCCCCCCTCTTTTCTATTGATTAGGTTTTGATGGTACATTGTTTGACTACTTTCATGGTTATGAAGATTTAAAAAATAAGAAAGTTCGATTTGTTGGACGTGCTAAACAGAGAATACAAGAAGATTATCTTCGAATTTTAAGATATTTCAGGTAAGAATTTTCAAAAATTCCATTACCAATACAGTGTTTAATAATGCCACCACCTGAGCACAATCCTGGTGATGTGAAATGCACAGGTCAGTATACAGTATGGTGACATCCCAAATGTCTGTCTCCGATGGAAGCCTGGAAGCCTGTTAACTTATGAGTGAGCTATTACCTAGATACTTCATATTGTATTTTCATTCCCCAAATATACACATATTTCAACAGCAGCAGGCTTTTTTGGGGGGGATTTATGATGATCTTTTATATAATTCAGCTTTAAATCACATTTTTTCTTTCTGATTGACTAATCCTCCTTCACTACACAGATATTTGAGTGCTTAACCACAGGACAGCTAGGTGATGGGAACGGAGAGTTGTGAATGAACGTCTCTGCCTTCGTAGGGCTTATGGCATGTATAGTTACGGGAAAATCTGTGACACCACACAAGACCAGTGAAAAATCAAAGTATAAAACATACTTAAAACTTGGGTCAACTTGGTAAATATGAAATGTATTTGGATGGTTTTGTGGGTAGCAGTGATTTTTAAACTCCAAATTTTTTTTTTTTAAAAACTGGCCAGTGCATGTCTAGTAATATTGATTTTTCACTGGTTGGCGTCACTCAGAATATTCTGTAATAGATAATATATATTTTGTCAAGAAATGCTATTCCTCTAAATCTGAGATTTTGTAAACCGTCTCTCACTACAAATAATAGAACACAGACCAAGATGTAGCCACAGTTATTAGTCATTTAATTTAGATCACTAATGACTTGAATCTTAAAGGGTCTGAGTGGTAGAGTCGATGTCCTTTATGGCTTCCAGTTCAGATTACATGAAAAAAAAACACCAGTGTCTGCAACTAGATTTTAGTCTTATTTTAAATGTTTAACTCAAACGCTTGTGAATATAAGTTTTCATATTATAGGTCAATAGATAAAATCTTTGAAATCAAGTTTAGTCCCATTTGTTTGTTGGATTTTGCTTTATTTGTGCCATTAATACTACAGCATTATTAACATTATAGATTACTAATATGAATATGGAATTTTTTTTTTTATTGTGCTTTAGGTAAAAGTTTATAGTGAAGTTAATTTCTCATTCAAAAATTTATACACAAATTGGTGACACTGGTTGCAGTCCCCACAACATGACAGTACACTCCCCCTTTCCACCTCAGGTTCCCTGTGTCCATTTGTCCAGTTCCTGTCCCTTCCTGCCTTCTTATCCTGCTTTTGGACAGGACTGGCCCATTTGGTCTCATGTGTTTGATTGAACTAAAAAGCACGCTCCTCACGTGTATTATTTTTTGTTTTATAGGCCTGTCTAATCTTTGAAAAGTGGGCTCCGGGAATAGTTTCAGTTCTGGGTTAACAGAGCATCTGGGGTCCATAGTTTTGGGGGTTTCTCCAGTCTCCGTCAGATGAGTAAGTCTGGTCTCTTTATGTGAATTGAGTTCTGTTCTACATTTTTCTCCTGCTCTGTCCTGGACTCTCTGTTGTGTTCCCTGTCAGGGCAGTTAATTGGTGGTAGTCGGGAACCATCTAGTTCTGGTCTCAGGCTGGTGGAGTCCCTGGTTCATTTGATCCTTTAGTCCTTTGGGCTAGTGTTTTCCTTCTGTCTTTGGTTTTCTTCGTTCTCCTTTGCTCTGGACGGGATGGGACCAGTAGATACATCTTAGATGGCCGCTTGCAAGCTTTTAAGACCCCAGACACTACTCACCGAAGTGGAATGTAGAACATTTTCTTTATAAACTTTGTTATGCCAGTTGACCTAGATATCCCCCAAAACTATATGGTCCCCAGGCCCCAGCCCCAGCTACTCTATCCCTGAAAGCGTTTGGATGCATCTAGGAAATTTCTTTGCTTTTGCTTTGGTCCAGTTGTGCTGACTTCCCCTGTATTGTGTGTTATCCTTCCCTTCACCAAAGCTGACACTTGTCTACTGTCTAGTGATTTCCCTTCCCTCTCCCTGCCCACCATCAAAGAATGATTTTTTTAGTGTGTAAACCTTTTCTTGAGTTCTTATAATAGTGGTCTCATACAGTATTTGTCCTTTTGTGACTGACTTATTTCACTCAGCATAATGCCCTCCAGATTCATCCATGTTGTGAGATGTTTCCCAGATTCATCATCGTTCTTTATTATTGCATAGTTTGTGTAGTGCACCATAATTTATCTATTCATCTGTTGATGGGCATTTAGGTTGTTCCCATTTTACTACTGTGAATAGTGCTGCAATGAACATGGGTGTGCATATATATATTCGTGTGATAGCTCTTATTTCTCTAGGATATATTCCTAGGAGTAGGAATGCTGGATTGTATGGTATTTCTACTTCTAGCTTTTTAAGGAAGCGCCATATCCTTTTCCAAAGTGGTTGTACCATTTTACATTCCCACCAGCAGTACATGAGAGTTCCAGTCTCCCCACAACCTCTCCAACATTTGTTATTTTGTGTGTTTTGGATTAGTGCCAGCATTGCTGGGGTAAGATGGTATCTCATTGTAGATTTGCATTTCTCTAGTGGCTAATGATCATGAGCATTTCCTCATGTGTCTGTTAGCTGCCTGAATGTCCTTGGAAGTGTCTGTTCATATCCTTTGCCCATCTTTTAATTGGATTGTCTTTTTGTTGTTGAGGAGCTGCAGTATCTTGTAGATTTTAGAGATTAGATTCTTATTGGATATGTTGTAGCCAAAAATTTTTTCCCAGTCTATAGGTTCTCTTTTTATTCTTGATGAAGTCTTTTGATGAGCGTGTTTGATTTTTAGGAGCTCCCAGTTTAGTTTTTCTTCTGGTGTTTGTGCATTGTTAGTTATGGTTTGTACACTATTTATGCCATGTTATTAGGGCCCGTAGAGTTGTCCCTATTTTTTCTTCCATGATCTTTAAGTTTTATATTTAGGTCGTTGATCCATTTTGAGTTAGTTTCTGTGTATGGTGTGAGGTATGGGGCCTGCTTCATTTTTTTACAGATGGCTATCCAGTTATGCCAGCACCATTTGTTAGAGAGACTGTCTTTTTCCCATGTAATGGACTTTGGGCCTTTGTCAAATATCAGCTGCTCATAGATGAATGGATTTATGTCTGGGTTTTCAATTCTGTCCCATTGGTCTATGTATCTGTTGTACCGGTACCAGGCTGTTTTGACAAGCATAGCTGTATAATAGGATCTAAAGTCAGGTAATGTGAGGTCTCCTGCTTTGTTCTTCTTGAACATGGGTATTTTTGTGCTGGACATTTTAATAGGTATTCAGTGGATATTTATTGTGTGCCTATTACGTGCCAGGTACTATTCTGGTTGCTGAGGATATAGCAGTGGACAAAACAGACAAAAATCCCTGCCCTCAAAATTCCTGCTATCCTGTCTCCTGGTGCTTTTAATGGGGGGTAGGGCAGGGGGAGATAGGCCAAAAAAAAGAAAAAAAAAAAGTAGAAGCTTGTATACATACACAGAGTAGTAAGAGCTAGAGAGAGAAAAGAGGGATTGGAGGACAGGGAAGTTGGAAATCTTTTTTTTTTGTTGTTTTTTTAGCTTTTTCATTTGGAAAACCCAGATTGCGAGAGTTGGTGAAGTGTATAATTCTTGGCTTCTGATTTATTTGTGTTAAAGTATGCCACCTTTATGGGCAAGACTGATGATCTTTTACTAGGTATTTTCTCTTCCTAGAAATGTAAAACTGGACAGTTTCATAGACAAAAATAAAAATCCAACATGAGCTACTGTTGGCTTGGTTTAAAAACAAAACAAAAACCAGTTACCATCAAATCGATTCCAATTCATGGTGATCCTGTGTGTCAGTTTTGCCCTATAGGGTTTTCAAGGCTGTGACCTTTTAGAAGCAGATCACCAGGCCTTTCGAGGTGCCTCTGGGTGGGTTTGAACCACCAGCCTTTTGGTTAATCGAGCACTTAACTGTACCATTCAGGGACTCAAAAACTGGATAGTTTCATAGACGAAAATCCAACATTATTACTATTTTCATGGTTTAGCTTCTCCTTAAGATGTGGTTTTATACCATGTGATCTTTTTGAGTCTGTGTAGGGTTGTGCATGGTATTACACACCCTGGTTGTGTTCTAGTGCAAGAGAAGAGTAAGACGATAGAAAAAGTTTGTGAGATGTTTTATGATTAAATATGTAAATTTTTGTTGTTAACTCTTCAAATAATGAATTCCTATCAAAATCTGTCTAGCATTCTAAGCTTCCTTACCCAGCCACCCTGACTCATCTTGCCTCTGAGAGATGTAAAGCAGGATATTCCAGAAATTATGCATATTTTGGTGGCGAGAACTGAAAACTGGTCATCAAGAGACCTTGGGGTTCTAGTTCGTCAGCAGCCAAGCTCTTAACCATTGCGCCACTGGGGCTCCAACCTTATACAGAGTACTTATTTTTTATTGAATCTTGATTTACTCATCTGGAAAAAAGAGGTGAGGTGACCAGGTAATTTCTAAGGTCCCTCCTAGACCTAACTAATCCTGTTACTTGTTTCTGATTAAATAGATGTATGGAGTAGTACCAGTAAAAATGAAAAACAGATTTTTCTGGTGATATGCCAGTACGGAGGTAATACTACTTAAGACGTTTGTCTTGCAGGTTTTATGGAAGAATTGTAGAAGAACCTGGTGACCATGATCCTGAAACTTTGGAAGCAATTGCAGAAAATGCAAAGGGCTTGGCTGGAATATCAGGAGAGAGGATTTGGGTGGAATTGAAAAAAATTCTTGTTGGTAACCACGTAAATCATTTGATTCATCTCATCTATGATCTTGATGTGGCTCCTTACATAGGTGAGAGCAAGAATACCTGAATTTTTGGCTGGCAATGAAACATGGTTTACAATTTCATAAAGAAAAAAATGTTTGACTACTTTAGTTGAAGAGATATTCTTCAGGAAGAAATGAGTATTTTAGAATAAGATAAACTTTGGGGTCAGGGGTAGGACAGTTTTGTCATGGATATGGAATAGCTCCAAGACAGCACATTGTCTCTGGAGTTGGACAGACAGACCTGGGTTTGAATGAGGCTGTGCCACTAAGCTTTGTGATGTGGATTAGTTCCTTAAACTTTGGTTTCTGAATCTAAGAGGATGAAAATAATAGCAACTGTCTAGTAAGAGGATTCGATGAGCTAATACATGTACTTAGAAGAGTGACTTGTATGTAGAAATTGTTCAGTTATAAAATTCAGAAAGGGAACAGTGAGATTATCTTATCATACTTCAGGAAATTTGGATTTATTTTAAATACCCAAAACCAAACCTGTTGCCGCTGAATTGATTCCAACTCATGGTAACCCTGTGTGTTAGAGAACGGCTTCATAGGGCTTTCTAAGCTGTAATCTTTACAGAAGCAGATCATCAGACCTTTTTTCGTGGTGCCACTGGGTGGGTTCTAACTGCCAACCTTTAGGTTAGTCGTAAAGCACAAACCATTTGCACAGAGACCTAAAATTATTGAATAGGGGATGAGTGGGTGTGAAATCAGAAGTTTGTAATTGGAAAATGCATTTCTTGTGAATGATACTACCATCACCACTGCCTCTGAACTTCCTGATTGAGATTGTTAATGGCAGTGAGAACATTTTAGGACCTTTGCCTAGGTTTTGGAGAGTGACATGGGAGAGGACTGCAAGTGTACCAGTGGTTCACTTGCAGGGTGGAGCATTAGCCTGGAGTCATATCAGATTATGAGTCCTTACTGACAGGGTGTTTCTATATTCTAACAATAATGGTTTGGTTTTTTATTGAATTTATCCACTGTAAAAACTTGTGAAAAATGTTTTTGCCCCAACAGGTTTACCTGCTAATGCAAGTTTGGGAGAATTTGACAAAGTCAGTAAAAATGCTGAAGGTTTTTCACCAAAACCGATGACTCTCTTGGCCTCATTATTCAAAGTACAGGATGATGTCACAAAATTGGATTTGAGGTTGAAGATTTCAAAAGAAGAGAAGAACCTTGGTTTATTTATAGTTAAAAATAGGAAAGATTTAATTAAAGCAACCGATAGTTCAGAACCATTGAAACCCTATCAGGACTTCATAATAGATGTAAGTAGATAACTAGGTTTAAGTATCATTTGCCTTAAGTATGACTAATAGGATGTATTTGGTCAGAATATACATGATCTTCACTAACTACAGAACTAACTTATTAAAACTAAGACCTACAATGTATTCTCTTGATTTTGTTTTAAAGGAAGATCCTCACACTATTTACTTAAATTTTAGGGTGAGATCATTAATAAGTGTTCTCATACGTGATGAAACTGTTTGATTTTGAACTCAGTCTAGGGAATCTGACGCGACTACTCGTGTATGTGAACTACTGAAGTACCAAGGAGAGCACAGTCTTCTGAAGGAAATGCAGCAGTGGTCCATTCCTCCATTTCCTGTAAGTGGCCATGACATCAGAAAAGCAGGTATTTCTTCCGGAAAAGAAATTGGAGCTCTATTACAACAGTTGCGAGAACAGTGGAAAAAAAGTGGTTATCAAATGGAAAAAGATGAACTTCTGAGTTACATAAAGAAGAACTGATGAAAGCTGGCTACTAAAAGGTGGAAAATTTTGGTAAGACTCCCTTGGTGAGACTTAGATATATACTGCAGAGTAAATATCTGCTTTGAGGACTTCTTTTTTAGAAGAATTAGGGTCTTCTTTGTGAAATATCAATATATTTCATGCACTAAATTCTACCAAGTCTGCCTCCTTTTAATCTGACTTACATTGTTGAACTTCATAATTCTTTTAGAATAGTTCCTACTGAGAAGTATATAGTTGGCTTCTCCTATCTTTATCTAGGGGTTTTTTATGTTTTCTTTTCTTTTTTTTGGTAGCATAGGGAATTACTAAGATTGGTCTTAAAAAAAAGTTGTTAACTGGCTTGGAGAAAAAATGTAAAGTATGCAGTTGAAACAACAGGGTTATTTTTGTCAAAAACGATTGCCTACTATACTATGTGTCTGTTGTTATTTTCTATCATAATGGTTTCTTTATACATACCAAGCCTAGAAAAGTTGAATTACGATTGTTAGTAGCTTGAGAGTTACTCTTGAGCCTATTATTTTAATAAACATTTCCTTTAGAATTAAAACATAAATGTGTTTATTATCTGACAGTATATATATCAGGTACCATATATAGTGATTCTAATGTAATATTACTTTTAACTTTTTCTTAAGAGGATTATATATGGCATAGTTACATTGAAATTTCCAGATAAGGTGCTTTTTAAAGATTTGAGTTCTGAATGCTTTCAGTAGGTAAACAGGTCTTTTGCGAACAACTATTGTTTATTTCAGCTGCTGTATTCTGACATAGAAGGGAAACCGATTTTCCTTTCTATGTAGCCAGTGATAGCAATTTTGGACCTTTGAAACAGTTTTAAATGCATAATATTTCTTTTTTTTGTTCTCTACGTTTTTTTTTTTATTGTGAGACCCCCAACCGCTTACCCCATTCTGCGACAGCACACTCCTCTCCTCCACCCCCGATTCCCCCTCTCCTCCACCCCCGATTCCCCATGAACATTCAGCCAGCTCCTAAGTCTCTCTGCCTTCCCCTCACCTCTGGACAGAAGCCGCCCCTTTGGTCTCTTGTATCTACTTGTCTAAGAGGCACATTCTTCACAAGTATCAC